GAGGAGCTCACACAGCTGCCCTCCATCATTTATCATCAGTCCTGGCTACCAAGGAAGGTCGACTAGAGCTTGGCCAATGTGGCGTCCATCCACAAGAAGGGCCAGAAGAAGGATCTGGGAAACTACAGGCCTGTTAGTCTGACCATGCTGTCCAGGAAGGTTCTGGAACAGGTGGAGTGTGATCACATGGCACTCACAGGAAAGCCAAGAGGTCAAGCCCAGCCAGTGTGAGTTTAGGAAATCTGGTGACATGCATGAGGGGCAAGACTGTGGATGGTGTCTGGCTGGACTTTAGTAAAGCCTCTGTTTCCCATAGCATTCTTCTGGAGAAGCTGGCTGCCTGTGGGTTGGACAGGTGGATTCTTTGCTGGGTTAAAAACTGCCTGGATGGCCAGACTAGAGGGTGGTGGTGAATGGTGTCGTGTCCAGTTGATGTTCAGCCACACGTGCTCAGGGCTCAGTGTTGTGGCCAGTTCTGTTTTATATCTTTACTCATGATTTGAGTGAGGGGATCGAGTGCACCCTCAGTGAGTTGACACTTAAGTTGGATGGGAATGTTGATCTGGTGGAGGGTGGGAAGTCTCTGCAGAGGAATCTGGACAGGCTGAATCAATGTACCGAGGCCAATGCTATGAGGTTCAACAAGGCCGAGTGCCAGGGCTCGCACTTCAGTCACAACAGCCCCGTGCAGTGCCAAAGGCTTGGGAATAGTGGCTGGAAAGCTGTCCAGTGGGAAAGGACGTGGGGGTGTTTTGTGACAGTCAACTGAACATCAGCCAGTGTGTGGCCAGGAATGCAAATGGCATCCTGACCTGTATCAGCAACAGTGCAGCCATCAGGGCCAGGGCAGTGACCGTCCCCCTGTACTCAGCGCTGGTGAGACCACACCTCAAATGCTGTTCAGGGACCCAAAACTGAACATTTTTGGGACCCTCATTACAGGGGCATTGAGGTGTTAGGAGCATGTCGAGAGCAGGGCAGCGGAGCTGGTGAAGGGTCTGTAGCACAAGTGCTGCGATGAGCAGCTCAGGGAGCTGAGTGTTTACCCTGGGGAAAAGGAGGCTCAGGGACCTAGGAGACCCTACCATTTTCCATAACTGCCTGGAAGGAGGCTATAGCCAGGTGAGGGTCAGCCTCTTCTTCCAGGCAATTCATGAAAGGACAAGAGAGCATAGCCTCAAGCTGTGCCAGAGGAGGCTTAGTTTCGATATCAGAAAAAAAATCTATCATGGAAAAGGTTGTTAAACCTTTGGAATTGTTAAACTATTGGAATGAGGTTCCCAGGGAGGCAGTGGCATCACTATCTCTGGAGGTGTTCAGGAAAAGACTGGATTTAGAGCCATATTCTAGTTGATAAGGTAGTGGTTGGTCAAAGGTTGGACTTGATTAACTTAGAGGTCTTTTTAAATCTAAATGATTCTGTGATTTTTTTGATGACTGCCTTATGTTAAGGGTTGAATTGATATCTACAGAGTTTGGAATGTCTTTTATGTCAGATGTGAAGAAGTTGTCCCTGGGAGTCCCTAGGTCTACTTAGAGTAACTAAAGAGTTAAAAAAAAAAAAAAGATTGGTCTTCTCTGACTTTCATTAACATTATGGAATTAATGTTCTCTGTCAAAAGTGATTTCTAAGGGTGGATTGTCACTGAGTTGCTACTATGTAGCTAAGCTATAATAATGGTAATAACTTTAATAAAGAGTATTTTTAAGGAGACAACTTGCATATTGCTAAAAGAAATTCTTGAAGTGGAAGCTTAGGTCTGAAGATTGTTTGAAAAAATACCTTTAGGAAATGTTGCTTTTTCTCATAAATTGAAGTGAATTTAGTCTTATGTGATATTAAGGTCATATTGTGGTTTCCTTGTGTATTACCTGTACTTCTAGCAGTCATGAAAATGAGCACTAATGCTAGGACATGAGAATGTTAACTTTTTCTTCTCTCAGGCACAGCTGTTGTCTCTTGTTTTCTCAAGAAATATGGAATGAAGACAAATACTAGTGTTTTCCAGGGTTAATTTCCAAATGGCAGTGGGGAACATGGGAGCAATATTCAAAGGTACAGTTTAGAAGCTATTAATTTATCCAATTTGTTAATATTTTGAGTTGGGGATGAAGCAGGAATAGAATAAGCTGCTTGGAATTGAAGAAGCAGGGATGGGTCTTTGATTAGAAAATTGCTCAGAGCAGAGTATTTCCTCTAGAGCTACCCAAAGTCTTTGGTAGTGAGTTTTTCCTGTCTACAAAATTAAAATGCTTTGCTCGTCTTGTCATTATTCATTATAATTTTTGCCTGTTTTGGGAACGATGATGTAGTAGATGATCACTGCTTAGTACAGTGAGCTCTCTTGCCTAAAGCACACATACACAAGTGCAGTGGATTTGGGCAAACTGCATTCCCTGGGCTGCTGCCTGTTTTGTGTGGTTGAGAAATGCTTCACATGTACTGAAGCAGGCATGTATTATCCTTCTACAGTCAGTCTTTGTGACGTGCTTTTTCAATTCAGCATACCCCGCAAAACTGGGAGGCTTTGCATTGCTTTAGAAAAGAAGATTAATGCTGGTTAGAAGGATGACATTAATTTGAGATGAGAAGAATAATTTTAGCTACTAGGTGAAAAAGTGAAGATGACATAATCCTTGAGTAAAGGAACTAAATAAGACTAGCTGCAAGGACTATTTTTTTTTTAAATTTTTAATGACAGCAAGCACTACAGAAGAGGCCAAGCTATTTTCACATCTGGATGTGAGGTTTCCACTAATTTGTCAAAGAGAGATTTTCTCTGAGTATTTAAAACTTGGGTAATCTTACTCCTAGTGCTGCATATTTACTGATTTCTTGAAAATGGTTCAGGTGTCCTGGAAAAGGGGGAAGAATTTTTTGTTTAAGGAAACATAGAAACATTCCTAATAATGAAATTTTTATTGACTACTTATTACAGTGCTTCCAGAAATAATAGCATCAGAAGTGCTTGCAGAAAGCATCTGAGGAATAGAATTTGAAGTAAGAAGTAACTTGAGCAGTCTATGGACTTGTTTTTCTGGGTCATATTCCTCTTATTTTGAAGCAAGGTAGCTTTAGAGTCTTAATTTGAAATAAACTCTGGGTTTAAAAACAAGGTTTGCATTTAATTATGTTGGAAAATGTTCCAGGGAGGGGCTGGGAAAAGCTTTTATTAGAAAACTACCTGTGTCAGTGAAGATAAACAAGTTTTAAAATTCAATTCCTGAAAGCATTTGAATTTCACATTTGAAAATAATTTTTGTGTACTTGTGCAAATAATGATTAATTCAAGTAAATGCAGATGTGTGAGCAGGGCCAAAGGCAATCATCTCTGAAACTTATGTTATTTCTTGTGGAGTTTTTCAGTCTGGCAATTTCTGTAGTCATCCATAGTTAATGTAAAAGCAACGACTTCACATTTAAAATATTCTGAGTTTGTGTAGGAAGGTATCGTTCATGGGGACAACACCCCCTCCACTCTTTGTTTTCTAAGCTATAAATTGTGACTGGAATACAGACAACTTTGTAAAAAAACTTATTTGTAAGAATTTAAAATAAAAGCAAAAAACCAGCTGAGGCTCACTGACTCTTTAAGTCTTTCCATGGCAGAGCAAAATTAAATTACTAATTCTGTTCGGGAAAAAAGCTGGTATTAAGTTTGGTGGATTATTCAACATCTGTCTAGTGTATATCTCACCACTTAGCTGGATGTTATGCAGGTTCATTAGTCTAGAAGAATGTGATTCAAGTTTAAAAGTTAAATATAGCAGTGTGTTGGGGCAGACTTCTCCCTGCTGTGGTTGTACTTTATTTTACCAACTTAGAGGCTGAGCAGGAGATGTGTTTGAGTTTTGATTTGCATGCAGCCTAATAGTCTTTTCAGCCTTTCAACTGTCTGTTCCATGAATGCACATGTTTTTTAAGGGTGCACATATTATCTGCTTTGGTTTTGTTCAGCAATTTATCAGTAAATGGAAATTGCAGAATGGGTAAGAATTGTACTGTTTTATTAATTTTTAGTATATACTGAGAGAAAAAAAATGTACATATATTCCTGTTTTGCATAAAGCTTTGGAATAATTTATTTTCTTCCTAAAGCTAAGGTGCTTCTTTAAAACAAGAAGTGTTCAGCACTGACAAATTATAGTCCAGAAACCCTGGGCGCACAATGATGGTGAAATACTGACCAGCTTGCTTAATTCCTCTTATTTCTTCTTGATCTCCTAGATTTTGGAGAACTTAATTTTGTATCAGAAGCAGGTGCAGAACCACATTTAAAATACAGAATGTTTGCAACTAAAAAGTGAGTTAAGTATGGAAAAGTGAAATAATCTGTTTTGCTGCAACTTCCATCAGTATTTGTTGTGGAAGGGCAGGACTGATACATGTGTGAGAGTGAAAAGGAGCAAGCTTTTGCTATCTCATAGCTGGTGTGAATCCAGAAAGTCTTGATACAGAGATCCTGAAAATTTACATTGTACATAATTTCCTATTGACTCCTCCATATTTTGACTACTGATGTTCTCTGTCACAGGAAATTTTTTTTTTTTTAACATGCCTTGCATTTTTCAGCTCTTTTCATGCTTAAGTTATGTTTAAATGGAGAGAAAGATCCTTTGGCATTTGGAAAATGTAATAATTTGTTTATGATGCTTATTTAGATTAACTTCCTTTAACTCTAGTCCTGATATTTAACATTGTTAAAGTAACTGCTTTGTCATTCTTCAAGTTCTTAATGGTGACGAATCCCTTAAATCTCTGTAAGTTAAGCACTTACACATATTTGTTGTATTTCAAGGTAGGCCTTTTAATTTCTTTGTGTTACTTTGTGGCATTTATAAATTGCTGTTTTGGTAACTATTCAGCTCTGTGTGGTAAGATATGTTGAGCACACTAACTAGAAACAGGATGTTAGCCTATGTGAAAGTGAAAATGTTGGTTATGCTGTGTGTTTTGTTTGTTACATGCAACAATTATTCCTTAATGGTACTAATTCCAGCTTTGGTCGGCCAGGAGTTGAATGCTACTGTCAACATGACAGTGGAGCTGCAGTAATCCAACTTCAGTTCCTGATTAATGAGGTTAGTAAAATGATTTATGTGTAATTCAGGGAAAATATGGAGCACATTTTCTTTAATTTTTCATTAAGCAAGCATTAAAATTAGCTGATAAAAGTGATGTAACACAAATAGCAAACTGTAATAACAATTATAATTTTTTTTTCTAGTTTTGGAAAATGCTTGACTAACTCTTGAAAAATATCTTTATCACTAGAGTACTGTTTTGCTGTAAGCAAGGACTAGGAATATCTTTTTGTGTCCTTGAACATTGCAAGTTATGCCTGTAAGTGGTGAAGTACTTTTTCAAAAGTACTACCAATTTCAGTAGGTAGTTAATTTTATTTTGATAGAGTTACTTAGACATGAACTGAATAATGTTGCCTCAGTTTCAGATGTGTGTTTCTAGCGATGTAGGAGCTGAGATCTGACAGCAGTGCTGTTCTTGAGCTAGGGACAGGTTTTTAGATGGATCTTGCTAGCTTTATCAGCACCCAGATGTCAGCAGTTCATTCCCTGATTTCTCTGCAGAGATGGACATAAGGAAACTAATGAGCACACACTGAAAGAAGCTACTTCCCCATCACCTCTCAGTATAACACTGAACCAAACTTGAGTGAGGTGAACAAGTGATCACATCACTTATCTCATTCCTACTACTTAGAACTTATCTGTGCTGTGGTGCTGATGCACATGCTTACACATTTTTTTAATCCTGGTAATAAATATATAATGTATTTCCACTGTGATGCTACACTGTTCCTAGGGCTATGAAAACAAGTTGACTAAAACGTTTTTGTTCTCCTAGGGAGCTCTTGTGAGTGCCTTGGCTGATGACACCTTACACCTGTGGAACTTGCGCCAGAAGAGGCCGGCTATTCTTCATTCACTCAAATTTAACCGGGAACGGTAGGGATTGGTCATTATTGCAGTGCCCCTTATACTGCATGCTACTCTAAGATCAGATCTTATTGGTGCGGTCCAAGTCATAACTTGCTTCACAATTGAAACTGGGTTTACACTGTATTTGAGTTTCAACCTGTGTGGCTCCAAAGTAGTTGTGAATAAGACACACTGGTGGCCTTAACTGAGATGCCTTTTCTATCACGTTGTGTTGCATTGCTGAACATCAATTTTCATATCTTTAAAATGTGGAGGGACAGAATATTTTGAATGGATGTCTTCAGAGGAATTCTGGAACAAGAGAAATTGTATATACCAATGAGACAACCAGGAAATCTGGTTCAATTTTTTACCTGTGATCTTTTCTCCCTCGATGGCAAAGCAGAATTCTGCAGTGTTAGAGCTCTTGTTTGTATCAGAGTAGCTGAAAACCACTTGTATTTTGACTAAAAATTTTTATACTCAAGTAATAGAATTGTAAGCAAGCTAGAGAGAGAGATTTAAAATTACATTTCTAAAACTCAGTTGACTAAATTTCTGAAAAACATGTCCTTTGTTTTAAAAGCAAGCATTCCTTTCCTTTTAGGAGGTATTCCTTCTTTTCCATTATATGTAAAGTCTCAGCTGGAATGCTGTGTTTGCCTTTGAACAGTATGAATTAGAGATGGACTGCTTGGGGAGCTCAGAGGATGTTAGCAAAAACACAGAATAATCTGTCACTTGTATTTCTTTTGAATAGTGCAGGAGGTAATACATTTTAAGTGATAGCAATAGAAAAAGTTAAATACCTATGTAATACGTTCTAATGTAGTGTCATACAAAGTGCTAAATAAACTGTTGGGTGGGTGAACTGCTAACTTTTTAGTTTTAAAGAGCAGGTTATGAACAAATTCATCAGGAACAATATAAATGCAGATTAGTGGGGTTTCTTTGTATAGAGGATTAAGTGATTCTAAGTCCCTTTTGAAATTATTTCGATGATCACTGTGCATAAAATCTGACGTGGGCCTGTAGGAATAGGACAAAGGTTAATGACTTTAAAGTAAAAGAGGGTAGATTTAGATTGGATATTGAAAGAAATCATTCACTGTGAGTGTGGTGAGACACTGTAACTGATTGCCCAGAAAAGTAGTGGGTGCCTCATCCCTGGAAGTGCTCTAGAACAGGTTGGATGGGGCTTTGCTCAACTATTTACTGAAAGATGTCCCTGCCCACAGCAGGTGAGTTGGACTAGGTGACCTTTAATGACCCCTTCAGGCCCAGACAATTCTGTGATTCTGAGCTGTTATACAGAAAACAGAAAGCTTTGTTGACAGAGGCAAATTCTCTGCCCCAAAAAAGTGGCAGTGTTCCTTTATGCAACATAGAAATCAAATGCAGGTAAATGCAATATATAACCACTAATTTAATGAGGATTGTCCAAGTGTAAGAGATACAATAGTGTGTCCAAACTTAATTTCCTACTTCTTTTTTTTCAGTGACTCTTCTCTTACTTGCAGTGTCTACTTAAGTGCCAGTGTAAACTTAGGGTTTGTATCCTGAAACCACACTTGAAAATGAGCTTCTTACTAGTGCATTAAAACAGATATCTGAGGAGGTGATTCTGATTGTGGGTGAATCGCTTGTAGGCTGGCTTAAAGTTTCAGATGCGTGGGTATCTTTGGATAAACAAAGTGAAAGTTTTTGACTATCCTTTTTCTGTAAATATCATTATGTCAGTAGCAAAATCCATCACAGAGAGTTGAGTAGGGGTAGAAAGGAGTCTCGGTCACTGATGTTTCTTCAGTGGCTCACTTAGTTACTAATCCTGTCTTGCCAAGGTAGGTAATGAGAACACCATGAGTGGTGTAAGGATAGCTTGAGGCAATGGCTTATTCTTCCAGCAATTTTAATTTTAAAATATCTATTTTAATGACATATAAAAGCAGCCAGAACAGTTAAGATTCCCAAATCTGTGCCTTGTCATACAACTTAGGTCATGCTGGATGATTGTTAAGTGTTATCAAATACTCTGTTTTCTTTTGAATAAAATACAACTTTATAAAATAACATGTAATTTCATTATCAGGCGACTATTTTGATTTGAACTTGAACTGCAAAAAAATCACTGTTGAATAATTCTAAATAGAGGCCTTTATAGCACTCAATTATTTGTAATTCATTATACCTAGTAGTTTCAATATGCTGTACGAATCCTAAGTAAATGGGCTTTCCTTAGGTCAGTTTTATGTATATTAACAACTAAGTTTATTGAGGAGAGTGTTCATGATGTAAGTTAGTTATGCAAAATCCATTCTGTCAGGCCTTTCTGGAAATGTGTCAGAGGGCTTTGGAGGTCTTTGGTGGTTTTAATCCCACCCTATAATCCATGCCCACTTCCTGCCACTCATTCCTGCATTGTACTATATTGTGTTCTTCCTAAAGGAAAAGTGCCTCTCTATCTCCACTTGACCCCCCTTCTCCAGCCAAACCTTATTCTTTCTCATGGTGTGTTAATACCAATAGTCCTTGAATTACCATCAATTCTTGTCTGTTGGTAATAACAGTCCTTGGCTGGCTCCACAACCATCCAGTTATCTGTGTTTGAGACATACACATTAGCCCCTTATGTTCTGGGAATCAAGAGCTCAAAGGGATCTCACTGTGGACTGCTGTTTATAGGCTGGTTAGACAATGGGTTTTAATACACATTAGTCCCTTATAGTCAGGAGCTCAAAAGGATCTCACTTTGGACCACTGTTTATCGGGTAGCAAGAGAGTGGGCTGTAGTTGTAATAATTTTCCATCCTGGCCAATTTGTGTTGGCAATTTTCTTTGACTGTTCAACAACAAAAATATTATTCCACTTGCATTGTTATTAAAAAAAAAAAAAAATCCAAGGCTGTGTGTTAAAAGCAGATGCTCATTAGACACCTGTTAGTTCCTGGGAACAGACAGTGTTTCTGATAAGCTCAAGGGGAGTTTAGTCCAAGTGGAGTTCATCAAGGCTGGGGTCCTGGGTTTCCTGGGTGGCAGAGGCATGCAGCACCAAAACCCATACCACAACTAAAGTCAGCTCCTCTCAGCCTCTACGTTCTCAAGTCATGAAACTGTTATAAACCTGGGGATTAAGATCTGTTCATAAGGTAAACTAACTTCTCAAACAGGACTTATTTGAAGTATTTTGTACACTACAGAATACTTCCTTATATATACAGACTTATAACTGTCTTCTCTAATGTTAATTTGCCAGTTTGTGAAGGGAGATTAAATATCTTGGAACTCATTATATGACTGAAGCAATGATTGTAGTGGCATCAGTATTTGCTATAGGACTCTGTTGAGGGGAAGGTTTAAAATTATTTAACTGACTGAGTTTCCCTGAAGTGTGTTGAAATTGCAGAAAAACAGTATTTGTGTCTTATGTAACAGGAATTGAACTTTACTGTCACAGGCAAATTTTAATTCAGATTTTGTTTCTAAATAACAATTTTATATGTAAGGTTTACATTTGATCTAAAAAGTTATCTTGAGTATAGAAAGCTAACTGTGGCAGTTACCCAGTTACTCGTTACCCAGATGAAAGGATTTTCTTAGTTTTGAAAACTATTCTTTAACTGTGTTTAAAAAAAATGAATTAAAAAAATAAAGTGATAAGGCTATGACTTCATTAATTAATTATGTAGCCTTCTGGCACAGCCTTTTAACAGCTCTGCCTAAATCCCTTCTTTTAGTCATGTGGAAGAACCACTGCCCAATGTCTAAAACATAATTTCTAGATTTCTTATTTTTTTATCCTGTTGATAATTTAATTTTGTTACCTTACTTTCAGGTGTTTTAAACATCTTAAGATACAAACCCCAGAGCTAGCTTGTTTGTAAATGCTTCTGTTGTGTGTTTAAATATTTTGTAAAATTATCTGAAAATTTGAATTTTAAATCTGTAAATTGTTTCAGAATGCAGTCTCTAGTATATGACAGGAGAGTGATGTGAAGTCTTGCTTTTCTACTCACTACTTTTAAAAACAGGGAGTAGTGAGAAAGAGCTGATTGTTTTTAATATAACTCTATGCCATTACAGGCTTTGTTCTCATACATGGAAAATGTCTTTGGATAACTTATATCAATCTTAGATTTGAGCAAAGCATTTCTTTAAAAGCAGTAGCCAAGAGTTCTGAAAGATGCTGCTTTCTTTTGAATCATTAAATTAGTAAAGAAACTGTAAATAACAAACTGGCCATTAATGGATTCATAGCTCCTGACTGCCTATTGTAGCAGTGATGGTTAGTAATTTGAAGCAGGAATTGGTGAGGTTTTAGATGTCTAACAAATCGGCTAGCTGAAGTTACTGACAGATGTCAAAAGCTCAGTGCAAAACAAGCTAGTTTAAGTTTTTTAGCCTTCTGTTTGCTGCACTTGTGGAAGTTTTGCAGCTGCCTTATGTTCTAGTTATCAAGCAAGAGTTAGCAGATGGTAGACCAATGTCATGCTTGGCCACTGTTCCTTGACTGTGGGAAGCGGTGTGTAGAGGCCAGGACAAAAATGCATAGTGATGTGGAACAGTTGTTTGTTGACTTGTCATGCAAAAGTGTTTAAATACTACCTCTTTTCAGAATGCATAATTCAGTGTGTGAACTTAATATTTCAGGTTTTGTACTTCTCTAAGATGACTTCAGTCAATCACTATCTATTTCCTTTGCCACCTACATATCTAAGTATCTTAAATACAAGATTGTTATGTGTTAACAAATAATGCAGAATTGATGTCAAACTTGCTTTAACTCAGTAATAAATATAAATGCTTCACTAGGGTAAGTCTGAAATAAGTGTAGTTAAAACATTTTATTAGAGTAAATATTGAAAGCATGTTGTAAGATAGATACATACATAACTAATCTGGCTTTAGTTTCCTGCAATGCAGAAACTGTTAAACTTGATGCTGATCTAAGGTGTGAAATGTCAGTCATGCCAGGGACAAGACAGGGACTTTGACAGATCCTGTTTGAGAGGGTGGAGTGACAGACTAAC